GGTATGAAATTTTATAAACTTGATAAAAAAAATTTAAATTATTAATTAAATTAGTGAATCTGACATTTCATGAACAATTATTAAATGGTATTATTGTTTAAGTTTGACATGTAAGATTAATAACCTTGGTCTTGCATAAATAGATATGAAAATTTCTTTATGCAGTGAGAATAGGAATAATAAATTTAAATTGTATAATAAGATAAAAATAATTAAAATTAAAAGTTAATTGATATCACACAATTTTTATAATTCATCTTTACTATTTATAATATGATCTAGTGATTAAAATTATTTTATTTAATATATTTAACGCACAATATTAAATAATTTCCAGAACTCATGTAACTCCAGCATTTGAACAAACTTTGTGACTTTTACAGATTTATGGTTATTAAATGATGCTACCTACCGTACCATTGTAAATTACATACAAGACACGAGTGCAGGCTCTTTGTGTGTGTCTGTATACATATAATAAATAAAATTTATTTATTATTAATTAAAATTAAAATACTTTATAAAAATTTGTCTTAAGACATCTATTTTTATTTTAAAAGAGTCAGATTCATAGTATAGATTACTATACAACAAAATGTAAGTGTAGTATTGTAAATATTATTAGTGTTGTTGAAATTTCAACTTCATAATACATATAATAAAAGTTAATATTATAAATCAGCATATAAACATCAAAGGTGGATACATTGGCTAAAATAAGACTCTAACCAATAACAAGGCCTAAGTTTTATTTATTTATTTTTCCATGCATACCATTACCAATAGCATTTTCAATTTATGGTTGGTACCGATACTAAACATACCTCAGAAAATCATGTCGATTCTGTTGTTGTTAGTAAAAAGGCAAGAGATCTTACCAATAGATAATCACAAATGATTAATAAAAAGTTATAAATATTTTTAATGTGCATCTAATAATATATAATAAAAATTAATACAATAAATTTTATAATATGATATATTATCATTGTATTAGATAATGTTATTATGTACTTTTAAACATATTAAAAAATTAAAAGTTATATTATATATATAATGAAGTTGACCGATTTCATAATCACGTGTCCTTTAATCTTCAATCAATAAAAAAGCATCAACACTTTTGTTTTGGAATATCTTCTATGATACTGTCGTAACACTTGTCACATTAATAGTAGCTCTTTATATATGTTATTTATAACTCGATTTTACTTTTTCTAAAAAATTCAATTTACACACACAGGCCACCGGCACTTTCGACAAAAGCATATGCAAATTATATATATATATATATATATATATATATATATATATATATATATATATATATATATATATATATATATATATATATATGCTTGCAACCTCTTCTTATGAATTCTCTTGATAATTTTTCTATTATTAATATACAAAATACAGAATAATTTTTAATTTAATCATTAATAAAATTTTTAGATGTAAAATAAAAGAGAATTTAAAATTAGTTTGTATGCTTATTTGAAAGAAGTCGTGCAAAATTTATGGCTAAGTTTAAGCGTTCAAAATAACAAGTTTTATTAAAAAATATATATATGTATCACACATTTATAATAATATTATAAAAACATGTTTTTTAATAAAAAATTATTAGTTTAAGTATGATAAAAATTGAGATCAATAATTTTTTGAAAAATAATTTATCAAATAAATGTATAATTAAACTGTGTATTTAATTATGAACATGCATGAGTTGGAACTTGACAACAATAAATGTGATATGATAGGAAACTAGAAATTGTCACAAACATGTTTTGGTGTTTCCTGGAAATGCCAGTCCTACTAACATTGATCAAAATCAAGAAAGACAATTCACTAATAACTGGTATCATGTCTGTTGAATGCTTTTTCTTACACAACCACACATTACAATGGCCACATGTCTTGGTGAATGGCTACATCAGATACACAACACATTAATGCTCATTGTTGTATATAGAGCCATAGAATGGTTTCACTATCATATATGTGTCAGTTCAAATGGCCCCAATCTCTTAAATACATTAGCACTTCCAATTCGAACATTGTAATATTGGGATTTGTACATTTCTTATTCACGTGCATGACACTGGTTACACCAATGGCTATCTGAGATTTCTGATGATTTTTTCAGTTCTATGAGACAGATGATACAGCAGTGATACAAATTGATAAGAAGTAAGAGCAATGCCTCACAGCCTCACAACTTGTTATTATTATTACCTCCGAAAAATATGTATACTTATTCTTGGTTTCATATAATTTTCCGAATATAAATGCCATAATAATAATTATGCAGTGCTTGTTTCGTATACAGGTGTAATGGAAGTTCACAATTTCTCGACCATGTTTTTTTTTTTTTTTCCAAAAAAAAAAACTTTGCATAAACATTACTATCTAACCGGTTTGTAAACTTTTTATTTTTCTGTATATTTTTGTATATAAATTATATGAAATTTTAGCTTATTTTTTTTAAAACTAATTAAATTTCAGACTCAAATTTTAGAATCATCGTAAAGAAGACTTATCCATACATTATCCGTAATGAGAGTTAGCCCAGGTTATGTTCATTGCAAAGCTCTCTTTAATTAATCAATTTTTTAAAAATATTATTATATATATCTTAAAAAAAAAAACCTCTTTTCAAATTTTGCTTCAAAGTTTGTTTTAAAATCTATAAATCCGTAGAACAGAATAAATCAGCTTACAGAAAACTATATACATATTAAATTTACAAACTTTATAATCGATGATAAATCGACAAAAAAAAAATAAAAATCACTACTACATTTTTTTTATCTAGCTTAAGAAACTCCTCTCTAATATTTTTATGTTGATATAATAAATTTATAAAAATTCAATATATACTTTCATTTATAAGATGCTACTTTGTATCTTTTTTGTTGTCTAATACTTTTAATATGATTTTTTTATCGTATGCTTATAATATCAAGCAACACTCAGCATAGCAATAGACTATAAAAAATCATGAAATTCTTGATCAGATAAAGATATAATATTACGTTATACAAATCTAATAACACCATATATATAATAAGATTTTTTATAAATATTTTTTTACATGTTTAAATATTACATGACTTTTATAATTTTATGACACTCAGGCACAGTCGATTTATTGTTAGTCTGGAGAATTATGAGAAGAGCTTAAATTTTTATTATGATTATTTTATTTAGTATCATACTAGAATATTTGTTATCTTTGATAAGGACAATATCATCTTGAACCGACAAAATAATATGGCTAAGAAAATGGTCTTCCCAACTCCATTTCTTAACTCCAATCAATAATAGAAAATGCAAATTCGTTCAGGAAATTAGTAATAGTAATACTTTGATTTAGATCCACATATATTCCTCCAAATCGTATAATTGGGTAGCAACATTGTTGAATGTTAGACCATGCTCTAGGGCTATTTTTTTGCAACAATAATAAGTTCTCTGCAATAATTTCTATATATGTTTCACGAAAACAAGTTTAAATTAAAATAGTTTGGTGACAATGCTGCTTCAAAAAAAAAAAAAAACAATTTACCACACCAGATCTTGCATGTATTTGCTTTAATTTTTATTTATTTATGGTGGGGATGTTCTGTGTAATGTTCATTCTACAAGGAGTTTACTACTATTTTTCTGGAAACCCTTCTAGATCAACTATATAATTAAGAACAGATGCATTATTTAAACAAGTAAAAACCGATATCATAATTTTCATTTATTTTATATACATATATTTATACTTTATTAAAAACTAAAAATTGTGACCTAAAAATATTGAAAAAGAAACATTTATGCTATTAAGAAACTTAGGATGCAGAGTTAGAGTGAGAAAGAGATCAGAGGCTTTTGCTTTGGTTTGGCAGTAGTCACATGGATCTACTTCAGTATACAGGGTCAAGTAGTTTCGGTTGTCAGATTAAAATTGGCAAAGGTTGCTTTGAAATTTCAACAACACCATCACCAATTTGTATAACTTTTTTTTAACTTTTTATTTCTTCTTTTCCTACCTCTTTAGCTTCTCTCTCCTTGGATTGTGTGCTAACTCAGAATCCTTCTTCCCCCAACCCCACTACTCTTTGTAAACTCCCAGCTAGATTTGGCTTTTTTTTCAACCCATAAAATGACATCACTCACTCACTGCACCATTTAATTTCTCTTTTGTACTCAAGTCAGCCATGCTCTTTCATGAGCTCAACTTTCTCCCAACACCTTTTTTCATGCAATTTTTCATGGTATGATGTCATGATTTTAAATATAATGTTTTTATGTGTTTAATATTATTTTATTTAAATACTTTTTTAATTGTTAATATAATTATACAAAAGTGTAATAAGCAAAAATCACTTAAATAAAAAATAATAAATAGTTAGAAGCAACAATAAATACACTTAATTCTAATTCAAGTACTAACATAAAATACAAAAGATATATTTATGCATAATGTTTATTAAAATATGAAAAAAATAGAAATATAGGGTAAAATAAGTTACATGATAAAGAGAGTTCAAAAAGATAATTTATATATAAAAAATAAAGTATGAAATACATAACTCAAATAAAAAATATGCTTAAACAATGCAAACAGAGAATCCTATTTTTATTTGTGGCCCATGCTACGTGCCAGAGCAGGAAATCCACTTTGGGACACGTGTATATATATATATATATATATATATATATATTATATAATATAAGATATTTTATTTCAACCTAGGAAAAATATTATATATATTTCGGAAAACACTAAAGTGTAATGGAATAGGAAAGAAGTTGCACTACTTAAAGTCCACCACCTCCTCATGACTTAAGTAGATTTGTTCAAACATTTTATACACCAATCTACATCAGAAACATAAATTGCAAAAACGTTGAGCTAAGCCTAATTAATGAACTTAAATTCATCTCATCATCACTTGCAACTTAAACTCATTTTTAATGTCTAAAATCAAATTTCGGTAGTTCAATTAATGAAACTGGTGTTGCTCAGGCCAAGGCCAAAAATTCTGCTGCTCATCAATGTTGTGAAACATGTTGCAAAAGCTTTCATCTTGAAGGTCTGATCTTGATGAACATTGTAGAAGCTGAGTTATGCTTGTGGGCTTTAGGGAAGTGGGTAGAAGGCTTTTACCATTCTGAGAAGACACAGGACTATTCATCACTGGTGTTCTTGAGAGATCCAAATTGATATCTGAACTGTTTTCACTTCCATTACTCCAAGAACCTTCAGTTTCTTTTTTGAGGCTTCTTGTTCCAGTTTCACAACAATCTCTACCCTTTAGAGTTTGTAACTGCATACACCATAGAGTGAAAGTGTGAAACCAAAAGTGTTTTCAGGTGTGATCATGTTTCAACAGATAGCTTTGATTCCTAGCTTCTTGTTTTATTAATTATCTTTGTTCCTTGTGAAGGATCAAATGCAACCTTGTCTTTTTCATACCAACATGGAATAGTTATAACACAGTATTCAATAGAAAAAGGAAAACAAACATTATTACTATTAATTTGCAGTTCTGAGTTCTGACACTGTCACACTGACTCTTCCCAAGATTGATCAACTCACAATCAAGCAAAAAGCTAATGACGGAATCAATCACTTTAAATTTAGTCACTAAGACATATTGGATCACAACTCAATCAATGAAATAGTTTTCTCAGTAAACTCGAAAAGAAAATTAAAAAAAAGAAGAAGCTACTCTTATAATTATTAAATCAAATATATATTTATATATGAAAAGGCTAGCTTTCTTTCTTCAAACATGAAAATATCAATTACATGGGAAAAGGAAGACAACTAAAAACAGCTAATATAGATTAACCTTCACAAAATATAGCGACTTAATCAAACTCTAAGTCCAGGAGGGGAAGATTAAACTTTGGTGGAATAAAAAAGAAAAAAAGAAAAACCGAGGAATAAAAAATTAGAACTTCGTTCCTTTCTACCCGAAATACCAACCTCATCATCTCCCAAATTCTCAACAATAAAGACTTGAATATTGGAGTCAAGTCAAAATCTATTAGGACCATACGGTCGTTTTAATCAATATTAAATATTTTAAATCAAGATCAAGATTTAAATGGTACCCAATTAACCCCAAGATCTTCAAACATTCAAGTTTTCATTTTTCCAAAACCATTACTAGTATGATTCATCACAAGACTCCCACCAAGTGAGATTTTAAAAGGGTAATCACAAAACAACTTACTAATATAAAAAATTGAATGATCCAATTACAAAAGCTATCTACATATGATACCATTACCTCTGCATGTAGCTTCTGATTCTGAGCCTTAAGGGACTCATTATCAGCCTTCACAGCTTCAAATTGCTTCTTGAGAACTTCATACTCTTTCTCAAGCTGCTTGGTCTTCCACCTTGCTCTTCTATTTTGGAACCATATAGCGATCTGTCTTGGTTGAAGCCCCAAGGCCTTAGCAAGCTGCATTTTCCTTTCAGGTTCAAGCTTGTTACCCAACTCAAAGCTCTTTTCAAGAGCCTTCACTTGCTCCAAACTCAACCTCTTCTTCTTCTCCCCAATCTGAGATCCATCATCTGATAACTCATCGTCCCCATGCACTTCGTCGCACTTGTTTTCTATGCCTGAAAATGACATGGATCGCTTCATCATGAAACCTGCACCTGCACCACCCCCTACAAATCACAAATTAGCACTCCATATTACTATAAAAACTTCTACATAACACATCCAACTGCAATTTTATTTGTAGCACTACAGGATCTGTTTAGTTTAAAGTTGAGTAAAATTAATTTAATTTTGAACTGTATTAAATGTATAATTGTTATGTCTGAATAAATCAATCTGAATCATAAATTTTCATTAAAACGTGTATTTTTTTTTATCAAAATATATGGGAATTTTTTTATAATGATAAAATAAACAAGCTCAAAAGTTTATGTAGATAGCTACATGAGTTGCATTTATTAATAATTTTCCATGATATTAGTACACCAGCAATTCAAAAGCATGACATATATATGAATTATACACTTTGGGGGGTGTTAAGTGTGTGTGATGGATCACCTTGAAAGTGTTGGGGTGGGAAGGAGGGGAAGGCGTTGAAAGAGGAAGAAGATGAACGGAGATGGTGTTGGTGGTCATGATCTTCATGGGTTTGGAACAAGAAAGTGTGAGAAGGTGGAAAGGCCATGGTTGAAGAAGGGGAAGGAGAAGGAGAGGGTGTGGTAGTGATATCATTCATGCAAGGTTTTTGGAAGGTCACACACACAAACACACACTCTTGGATTTGTTTGAATAACGATAATTAAGAGGAAGAGGGTGTGGCGATCACAGGAGTTTGGCTCTCACTCTCATGGTGGCAGAGTTTTCAGAAAGAGGGATGGTGATGATGATAGGTACAGAGACCGAAAGACAGCGATTTTTAGGTTCAGAGACAGACAGCTTTGAAGAGAGAGAAAACAATAAGAGGTCTAAATTCTCTAATATTATAGCTTCCACGGACCCATTTCCTCTCTCTATCTATTTATATATTCAAAATATTTTTTCTTTTATTATATCTTTATATATATATATATATATATATATATATATATATATATATATAAGAATCGATTCAAATTAAAATATTTAAATATCATGACAATAAAATTAAATATAAATTATTAAATTTTATTATAATAATTAAAATTAAAAAATTGTAATATTTTTAAGTGACTATATGCTAATGAACTAATTTTTAATATTTATGCATATCTGTATAATTTAGATTTATAATTTTGACAATTTTAAAGTTTTTTTTTTACTAAATATGTATTAGAGAGTGCATTTAGACAGTTTATGATTCTTATAAATTTATGTCATCCAATTTTAATAAATTTTTATATAACTAATTATTTTAAAAAATTAAATAAACATTTAATTAAAGCGTGTATCTTTTCTCTCTGTAGGATAAGTGAATTTATCCTTATACTAAAGTTTTAGATAATCAGCTATCCAAAATTTTTATATTAATAAAGAATTATGTGAGACATCATATATGTATTAAAATTAATATAAGATAGATTTTTAAAATATATAAAAATAAGAAGCGTTTAATTTGTTTTCTATTTTTTATTTAAGTACCATATGATTAATTTAACACAAATAATATAAATAAGATATAATTATAATTTAATAATTAGATTGATAAAATTAATATTATAAAAATTAATTATGTAAGACTATTGTAATACATATGAATATTAAAATTGATCAAATTATTATATTTTAAGTACCGTACGATATTTATTTTAAATATAAATTTATTTAATAGGAATATTTAAACAGATTAATCTGATTAAATATTAAAATTTTAATTTATTTCAAATCAATTAAAATTTTAGAATTTTGATATATTCAATAAAAACTTTAAATTTAAAAACTAAACTAACAAATTTTAGATTTATAAAGTAAAATTTACATAGCATACATATCAAGTAAAATTTAATTGATATCAGTTATATGTAGAGGGAGAAGATACCTCAAATAATAACTATTCTGAAATGTTAATGTGAGAACAATAAATATTAATCACCTTACAATTATATAAGAATATAATTGATATTAGTTTATTCAATATTAATCTACACCACCCATAATTAAAAATATATTGTTTTCACAATAATAAGTGAGAACATTTCTCACAAGATCCATCAACATTAAATAAGATTTGTTAAATATATAATATTAATAATTTTAATTTTATATTTATTTTTCTTATATTGAATATATATTTTATTTATAACAATCTTTTAATATTTAATATGATTACATTTATTAGAACTTAAATTAAAAATATATTGTTTTCACAATAATAAGTGAGAACATTTCTCACAAGATCCATCAACATTAAATAAGATTTGTTAAATATATAATATTAATAATTTTAATTTATATTTATTTTTCTTATATTGAATATATTTTTTATTTATAACAATCTTTTAATATTTAATATGATTACATTTATTAGAACTTAAATTAATATTCCAAATTGATCTGGAACAACCATTTTAAATTATTTTCTCCCCTGAATATTTCTTTCTTTTAAATTTATATTGATATATTGCATTAGAGATAAGTTCAAGTCCAGAAAAATAAAAAATAAATCAATGATTCGAGAATAAAGTTTATATATATATATATATTGGGAATTTAGCCCTTTGTTGCTCAGCGTGGACTGGAATTGAGAGATTGGGGTGATCCAAGTCTATACTTTGGTTAATACCTGTCAACATCAAAGAACAAGCAATCCCAGAAGAAAGCTCGGTTTCTTTCGAGGGATCCAGATCCATCCATGTTGCTTGTTTGTGCTTCACAGACATTATTTATGCATTATTGGGATATGGAATCGGTTCAGAATTTCAAATGCTCCGAACTCAATAGAATTGAATTTATTTTGGTAAGAAAAAATTCACTGACCTGAAATGGATCATCAGAGGCAAAAATGCCAACATACAAATCTGATAACGTTTAGTTAAGTTGGAATCTAGCCAGTAAAAGAAAAAACTTGATTTTAAGGCCAAATAAGTTGTTGGGTCATGCATGTGTGACGAGGAAACCTGGCATTCGGTAACGTGAAAATCCAGAATCCAAGGAGAGAAGCATAATAGAAAATTTTGAAATGCAAGTCTCAAGCACTCATTTTTTTATGGATATATGTGTGATGGAACTTGCACTTGGAATTAAATTAATTAAAGCGAGTCTGGCATCTGCTGGATATATTTGGCCATTTTCTATAATTCATACACTGGGATTTTGGAATATATTCACTCCCATCCTGCAGTGGTATTTCATTGGGCGTGCATATGTTAAAAGTTACATTTCATCTTAAATTCTTAATTTTCATCTGCTATCCCTTTGAATGAATACAAAGTATTAAAGAATTTATTTAAGTAATGCATGTCCAACCAATATATCTCTCTTTAACGTGGATCATACAAATAAAATATCAGCGAGATAGACATATACTTAAGAGTCCCTAGCTGAAATAATCAAGTATTAATATAATAGGCCTCACGTTATACCATACCCCACTTAATTTCTTGGATATATATATACCCAATAATAAAAAGCTATACGATAGGGGCAGGAAAAAATGTGTATCTTAAAGGATCAAATGAACAAACGAAGGGTATATTTTGTTTGAAGATGAGTGATGAGATGATCCCCATTGATCTTACAAGGAGGATGATGAATGAATAGAGGGAGTTGTAAAGGAAAGGGCGTAGGATAGGATGTGTCTTTTATCCATTGATAGAGAAATCATTGGGTGCTTTAACTTTTGCAATGTTAAGCGTATCTAAGGGAATTAAACTAAGGGGAATGATGACAGAAGAGCTAGGTAGCATCTCAAAGTTGCACATTGATTTGTGTGGTGGTGAAAGGGTGGGTACGTAATGGGGGGTGCATGGGGCCCACCAGGTGTACCTCTCTAGCTAGCCTGGCCTACACCCCCCCCAAAGCCTCTTTGCAATTGTAACCCTTTATTGCAAGTTTGGGGGCAAGCCCTTTGGAATAGGGTGAGACCATGTTATTCCTTCTTCTTCTTTCTCCCTTAAATTAATTCAGCAAAGTGCTCTGAATCTTCTCCACATGCCCCCCTGTTCCCATGTGCTTCTGCTTCCCCCTCACATCTCTCTTCTCTCTCCTTCCACATTTTTTATCTCACACAATCCATAGATCTGTATATTTATTATTCAATTAGTGGATTAATTGTTTCATACTGTAGATTAGAGTTTAAATTTTAATTAATATAATTCTAGTTTTTATATTCTTTAAGCAAAGGTTAAAATATTGAAACTATTATTAATATATATTTTTAATATAATCTTTCACTAGCTTATAAAATGTGTATCAAATGAGAATTTATATAGTATTTTATTTATTTAATAATTAAAATGTATAAAAATAAATTTATTCTTGTTGATGATACGTAGTTTTGCTGCACATTCACCGATTCATTAAATCTGGGATCGAACACACATTCACAATTTCCTATGTAAAGATTACCACAATTCCCCAGAAGACAATGATCAGGAACAAGTTGTATATCATCCTTGTGTAACTCGCTTGTCAACGCTTGAAAAAGTTTACTTGTTTATCATTACGCACTCTAAAAAGAATAATAATAAAAATACAGCTAAAAGGGAAAAGAGGAATCTAATAAGGCATTCTTCTCTTTTTATTTCTTTTACGTGATTATTTTTAATGTCAATTATCACTCATGAGTCCACCCACTTTTAATAAAATTTAAGATGATAATTAAAATATCAAAACCTATTGAAATGATGTTTTCAAAAGCCAATTCCTAATTAACACATTATTATTTCATTGTGTCTCCTATTTCTATCTTTATATCCTATCACTGAGTAGGCTTTTATGAACTAGGGTTTTGTAAAACTATAGATAGGTACCCCCATCACAAGAAAGTGAAAGTTATAGCCCCATTTTTCCTTGCTTCCGATTCGCAAGTAGATGTGTAGCACAAGGTACCTACACAGATACCTAGCTACATGATTTTGGAAACATAACTTTAATATGAAATTTTATTGATATAGATTCATTGTTTTTTAAAAAGAATTATGTTAATAAATTATAATAATAGTCGAACTAATTTTTTCTTGACTTTTACATTTTATAATACGTTATATCTTTTTATTATTTAATTTTAAATTAGTAGTATAAATAGAGGACAACGCATATAGGTTTTATTATCACTATTATTTGCATGCAAAAATATATTAAATAGAATATAAGGAAAGTTGTGACCTATGTACATAGTTATAAGAAGATCGACAAATACACCACCAGATTACATATCATCCATTTATAATAAGACATCCTAAATACTCCAGAGAATTGTTACACCAATCTTAGAAAGATGAAGGGACATTTTTTTACTTTAGCTACATATCATTTCTAACTCCTAGCCCAGTCAATAATTAATCCAAATAAAACACACACACACACACACACACTACTCCTGTCTAAAATTGATTATGTTCTTAAGTTTTAATTGATTAGTTTATCAAAATTGAGGTGAGAACTTAGCTCACTAATTTATAGCATTTTTAATATATTATTTGAAGTAAAGTTTAAACTTATAACTCGTTATATTTTTATTTTAATTCAACTATAATAAATATCTCTTTATCATAATAATTTTGCTAATTTATTATGAAATGCAAGACGATAGGTTTATTT